GTTTGAAAGCAAATTTGTTTTCCAGGCTTTAAATATTATCACAATCCTAAACATCCAGGGCCGTACACAGCGGGGAGGCAGGGAGGGGGCAACTGCCCCCCCCCCCCCTCCTTACAGAAAACTATATTTACAATTTTTAGAATATTATTATTAATTATTCATTGGATATTTGTGACGTTTTTCGGCATATAGGCCTTACTGCCCCCAGCTGGTGAATAGGGTTGGGCGATATTAAAAAAATCATCTCGCGATTATTGTCAAGGAAATTATCACGATATTCGATAATATCGCGATAAATGCAATAAAAACAATGACCATTTTTTTCAATTTAATTAATATCAAAGCATAGTAAGCTTATATATAATCTTATTAAAAACAAGTAAAATAACAAATTAAAGTAATATGAAGGCTTTTTCTAGTCTAAAATTTACTGTTCATAAACCAGAACTGTCTATGCAGTGTCTACTGTGTCTCCGCTCGGGTACGTCAACAATGTACATCAACATTGGGGGGTGTCGTCATGTTTTGACCAACTTTTCCTAGAATTTTGACCAAGTAGTAGAAATGTTTCCCGAAAATGTTGTCGTTTTTTACCAACTTTGACCGTTTTGAATTATTGGGTGTGTTACACCCCCCCCCCCCCCCCCCCCCCCTGTAGCGACGTCCCTGTCTCCGCTGCCACATAGCGCAAGCAAAGCCTGCAATTTCATTGTTCATCAGATTAATACATAAATATTAGCTTTTGTATCGAATGTATCATTTTAAAAACTATATTTTCTAGGGAATTGAAAGACGTTTTTAGGATTTTATAACAGCTATATGCACATGTGAAGCAATATAACGATAGTCATCGAGCATGACGATAATTTCGATATATCGTCGCTTAAGTTTCTACCTTCGATACGATAATCGCAATTGAAAATATCGCGATAAATCAACATATCGAAATATCGCCCAACCCTACATACAACAGATGATTCCAGCTATAGACTAAATTTTGATCCAGACAAGGAGGACGAAATCTATCATTATAGCTTAAAAGAACATCCTTAAATTAGTAAAATTGCAAAGTTTGGTTGCAAAATGTTGTAAATTACGAAAAATATAGTCTTGTGAAATTGGCAAATTTTGAGTATTTCAGTATTACGCGGGGAAAAATGGACCACTTTCGAGCCGAAGTGGTGCATTTTTCCGCACTAAAATACTCTAATTTCTAATTTCACAGGGCCATATTTTTCGTATTTTACAACATTTCGCAACCAAACTTTGCAATTGTACCAATTTTAGAATGCTCTTTTGAGCTGTAAATGATAGATTTCGTCCTTCTTGTCTAAATAAAAAAATAGTCGATAGCTGGAATCATCCATTGACTATGACAAACCTTAATTGAATTGAAATAGCTGTATATATATATATATATATATAGTGATCAGAGGCATTTTCACATTGAACTATAATCTTAATGCGTAGAACGCTGTAGTAAAGAGATATATAATATCATATTCTCTGTTAATGATTAACGACTGAATTTAATTTTCTGAAATTTTTCTTCATCTCCCCCCCCCCTCATACCAATAAATCACTACGTAAAGTGAGATGAATTAATTTTGATCCAGTTCAAGGACTGAATCAATATACTTCACCAGGTATCCAGTATTATCATGTGAGAAAAATTAAGCAATATCGTTGGTTAATTTACTCATGAAATATTAATGAGTTTGAGATTTATGTATAAGAGTTATTCACTCATGTGGATAATTCTAGTGCCTGGATACCTTCGACAAATAATAAAACTGGAACTAGGGAGGTGAGTTATCCAAGATTCTCTGATCTGAAGTACGAATTCCAGGAAGCGTCTATGGCCATAAGGATCGTTTGGGTAATGATTTCCCAACTTTACTGTTTATTGCACTCTTGCTAGGCGCACATGAGTTATCAAAGCTATATCCCCATGATTTATGCACGAATATGTTCCTGATCACAAGTCTGTCCTTAGTGTGCAACAAACATGGGGAAATATAATCAAACGAAAATGAGACCAATGGGGAAGAAAAATCTAAGCAATTTCGAACAGACGCCAGTAGCCATAATGACATCTGATACCATACTGGCATCTGATGCCATGCATACTGGCCTCTAATCCAGTTCTTCGATCCTATTCTTGTTCGACACGACAGGCTTTATTCCCATAATAGATTCCAGATAAAACCTCTTCCCATTTAGCTTTGTGTATATAAAGAAAATGCTGTGCTGAGTGGTTATATTACAACCTTAAAAAATAAGCAGCTAGTAAGCTACTAACTCTTGACGAAGGGCCTTCGCTCGAAACGTTGAGTTTCTGCTTGTTTTTTAAGGTAGTAATATAACCACTCAGCACAGCATTTTCACATTGGTACTACCTACACTGGTACAGACAGTTTTAGTGTATATGAAGAATACTGTTTTGGACACGCTTAATAGCCTCATCAATGATAAGGTCTATGTCAAACGCCGAACTAAATGAAAATTAGCTCAAACAATGCATGGGTTTATGTTATTTGCATTAAGTTCGGTACATGATACATACAGTAGATCTTACCTAAACACATGCCGTAGAAGTCTTTTTTGGTAGTTCTCCGCTTTATCCTTCATTAACTGCAATGCTACTTTAGTATCACCAGTATCTATTGCATCATCAACAGCGTCTCGTTCAGTAAAATCTTAAATTAAAAAAAATGTCAATTTCTTTACGCGAGTCGGAAATGTGAGTAGCGGGGTTAAACCTATATTATTATATGCTGACATGCAAAATGACCAATCACGAGTCTTGAATAGGGTCACGTGCCTGTCCGACATTTTACGAAAGTAATTCAAAACTGATTGCTTTCCCCAATCATCGAAGGTTTACTCTTGTACGCAATTAATGCTCAGTATAATGTACGCATAAATTCCATATAAAAACATAGTTTTATTAAAGTACATTTTACTGAAATACTCAGTCTAGTTCCTTTGTTAAAACACACTGATATCGAATGAACTAGACTGAGTTCCAAAATATCACCCACTCGAACCGACTTGACCTCGTAGCTCAGTTGGTAGAGCATTGGACTAGCAAACCAAAGGTCACGGGTTCGATTCCCACCGCGGTCAAGCACACGTTTCAGCTTGCCCAGTGCATGTGGACATTCAGAGACAACATCAGAAGCGTAGTATTGTTTGCAATAATATTTTCACTAATACTATGACCACATGTTTGTCATCCCTGTTGCTGCGCGTTTTGCCCCTCAGAAATAGCGGACAAGGCCTGATTGCACCATAACGAAAGCGAGTGACTATATACAACGGCCACCCTGCCACATATTTTACGAATGCTATTCAGTCTATTCGATTCTGTATTTTAATCCAAATAATAGGCTGTTTATATTACCGTCCAGACAACGTAGAAGATTTTTCAATAAATCCCGATGGTTGAGGCAATCTGCTATTACAGTTCCTTTCAACGTTTGGTAATCCAAGAGTTGAAAATTCGCACAAAGGAATTTTGTCTTCGCAAGATCGTGCTCCATAGCCTCATCCGATTGCAGTTCTTTGTCAACCTGGACGGACTCAATGTTCAATACAACATGGTTTTGTTTTTGTCTACAAGCATCACATTTTAACAGTTCTTCGCTTGTCAACTCATTGTCCATTTTAGAATCATTTCCATGAGAACTTGTTGAAAATATTTTCATTTTAAAACACATCGTTGTAAGTCCAGCAACAGTTGTGGTATCGTCGGGGTCCAGGAATCTTGTCAAGTCGACCTTGATAGAGGGAGATAAAATTTTTCCTACATCCGTTACGTAATATTCCCTTGCGTCTTTGTTCTTTGGGTAAACCAGATCAACAGCAATGTTCGCTTTCTCTAGATAGACTATCCAATCACCCAGCGTCGACTTTAAAGCATTTGGATCGTATAGATTTTGTTTATCGCGAACTTTTTTTCTATGCAGAAAAATAAATTGTAAGCTCCCACTCTCTATTTAGACCCCATCCTCTATGAATTAAATCAATATCAATGTAGACTTATAACGAAAAAACACTAATGTATCATGAATAACTGCGTTTAAGAGGCAAATTGAAATGCTGAAATCTTTTTGGTGTACCTCTCAAAAATTGCGGGAACAACTGAGTATTTTACGAACTACAAAACAACGGTAAAGGAAGATTTTAATATAGTTCTAGCTTTCGATTAAGTTACATTACAACGATATTTATAGGTCAAGATTAAAGAAATTTGATATATACAAAAAATAGTATATTAATTTGTATAAAATAATCTCTTCTATATATTTGTATATATCAAATCATTTTAATCTTCACATATAAATATCGCTTTAATGTAACCATAGCCTATCGAAGGGAAGATGGCTGTGAAACTCATTAGAATAACAATATAACTCATTATCTATGTTGGTCAACGTTTATTCATAAATCTGGTCCTTTCACCGTCACGTGTGTATTGTATTTTTACCAAATCCACCAATAGCAATTTCCCCATTGTTCGAGTCACGGATAGGTGACTTTCCTAAAACATTGCTATTGGTTAGTTGGGCAAATATACAATATACACGTGACGGTGAAGGACCAGATTTATGAATAAACGTTGACCAACATAGATAATGAGTTATATTGTTATTCTAATGAGTTTCACAGTCATCTTCCCTTCGATAGGCTATGATGTAACTTAGCATCATTCCTGATGCATGATGACTAAAACATATCGAAAGCTACAACTATATTAAAATGTTGGTGGGTTTTGTAGATAGAAATTATCGGGAATTCTGTATACATTTATTAGATCTAACCAGGAACAGTTGAGAAAAATGCAACTATAGGTCCCTGGCAGGAATCGAACCTGCGACCCTTGAGATTCCAGAGCAGTGCTCTAACCAACTGAGTAACAGATAACAGAGGCCACTTGTCAAGCTCTAACCACAAGTTCATGTTTTTATACAATATACATGAACTTCTTACAACTGGCCTCTGTAGCTCTGTGGTTATAGAGCGCGGCACCGGAATCGCAGCACCGCAGGTTCGATTCCTGCCAGGGACTAGGGTCTTAGCTAGAGGGCCGTGTTGGCCGTGTTATCGCGGCCAAAAATGGAAAAACACGGCTAGATAAAATGAACGCGGCTTCATTATTTATATACACTGTAAGGCCGTGTAGGTTCATAAAATAAGATGGTGCTACTTACAACAGACAGAATTTCTTTCTATTTACGTCATAAGAAAGTTTGTAAAATCCATTGTTGTTGTTGAAATTGGCAAAAGTGATCCGTGATGTTTTAATATTTTGATGGATAATGGGAACCGAAAGGTGTTAAAGTGGTTTTAAATACCCCCAAGAGTTGCTGAAATAACTTAGTATTTTAATGTCAGTGCGCAATATGAGTATATGCTCGCCTTGTATTTGGTTGCAAAGCATAGAACAACCACAGGCATTGTCCGTTGTTGTAGAACCGTGAATTTGGCTATTCAAGGTAATTGACTTGTGCACACCCTGGTCATTTAGAAACACGCCCAAGATCTAAAATCCTAGCTAAGACCCTTCCAGGGACCTATAGTTGAATTTTTCTCAACTGTTCCTGGTTAGGTCTAATAAATGTATATAGATTTCCACTCGATTATTTCCATCTGCAAAACCCTCAAACTATATTAAACCGTTCCTTTTTGGAGTTACCATTGTTTTGTATTTTCTACCTCTCAAAATTACTTTGCTTTAACTAAATAACTATCTGCGGTTTAGGTAAACTTGAAAAGCTTATTTGCTGTCAACGTAGACATGGATGCTCGACACCCGTACATTTTTCAAAATATTTTTTTCAGAAGACATAGTATTGGTATCGTTATTACTCAACAGCTACCAGCATATCAGTGGCGTAACGGAGGAAAAGGGGGCCCTTGGACATATTTGGTGTGGGGGCCACTGTTGTCACAACTACAGGTGTATGTACCACAGAATACCGCAAAAATTTACATGTTCCATATCTTTTGTCTAATGTATATAATATGATTCCTTAATATTTTTTAGTATAGTCAATCGATATATTTTTTCTTCCTGGGGGTTTTGGGGCAAGATTTCATAGACTTCATTATTTTTTTTTAAATGAATATTCTGTGGAAAAAAATCCAATCTACCACAGAATACCAGTGCAGAGGTAAGTAAGCAACGGTTTATCGAATTGTACCAGGATTTGGTGTGTCGTGTTGTATGATAATACTGTGGGATATTGCTAACTTAATTTAATGAAAGTTAAACACTAAGATCAGTACAGAATACCAATGATATAACCAAAGAATACCAGGTTTATCAATAATTTTGAAAAATTCAGTTTTTCAATGCTAAAATTGATTACACTGTGTGATTCCAGTGTAGTAATGTTGTATTGCATAGAAAAAGTATTGATCAACATAAATTATGCTGGTTTGCGAACTTATATTTAAACATTCGGATTTTATGGGCATTATGCGAAAAAAAGTACCAAAAATATAGAATGTTACTTTTTGTTAATCCTTATTACTTTTAAGAATTTTTAAGAAAATATATATTTTTGTCTTTATATGTCAATTAAGACTAAAACTAATATATAATCACAAAAATAAAGTTTACAGCATATTTCCTTCAAATTTTATATAAGAAATAAATAAGACTGGTATTCTGTGGTACCGTGGTGACCCTAATTCTTGCCCAGACCCTGACAAAACAGCGAGACATAAAACTATATCCCGTCTTTGTTCTTCTGCCTTAGTTCAGAACGAAGTTCACGATGAATTTTGCCAAAATATTCGTTCTGAACGGAGGCAGAAGAACGAAGACGAGATATGGATTCATGTCTCGTTGTTTTGTCCTGATCAGGGTAAGGATTTGGATCAGAATTCATAAACAGCTAGACATGAATCTCTAATCTGTCTTCATTCCTGACCCTAAACTCAGAATGCGCAAGGTAATGTGCCAGACAGGCAAAAATTGTCAACTACGTACGTCGTCGTCGTCCAACTTCGTTCTCTTGCTCAAACTATCTATTGTCTGACGGAGATATTATAATTATAATAGACCTTTCCAAGGTTTCTGCCGCCATATTGCAGGGGGTGCAAAAACATTGGGGCGAGCGCGCGGCCACCAATGGCGCCCATACTATTTCCTATTGAGTGAGTGAAAATTACCTTTTGACATTTTGTCCTTTTTCTCAAAAAATTTCTATACAAGCAGATCCAATTTTTATTCTTAGATAATCGCTGGTTTTTTTCTGATATGTGGCCGAGATTTCTTGCTAATCGAAGGACAGGAAGTAATAAAAAACGGCGGCTTTTGTTGCACAACTTGACCGACGTTTGAGCGATGATTCTTGTTATTTCGTTTGTTTAATAACCAATCTTTGGAAGAATATTTGTCCATTAAGTGTGTAAGTCCTTTGATGTCCGCCATTATTACTGTTTATATTTGTATATTTGTACAAAAATCATCGCTCAAATGTCGGTCAAGTTGTACAATAAAAGCCGCCGTTTTTTTATTACTTCCTGTCCTTCGATTAGCAAGAAATCTCGGCCACATATCAGAAAAAAACCAGAGATTATCTAAAAATAAAAATTGGATATGCTTGTATAGAAATTTTTTGAGAAAAAGGACAAAATGTCAAAAGGTAATTTTCACTCACTCAATAGGAAATAGTATGGGCGCCATTGGTGGCCGCGCGCTCGCCCCAATGTTTTTGCACCCCCTGCAATATGGCGGCAGAATCCTTGGAAAGGTCTATTATATTGAATATTTATAGAATGTTCCGGAAAATTCTATGTCTAAATAACAATAACATTAACAATAACAATAACAATAACAATAACAACAACAATAACAGTTTCCAACACATTTAACAACTAATAAGAATAACTTTTGTTTCATTTGAGATGGAATAAAAAAATCAGCTACCGTTGTCGATGGAGGCTTTATTATTTAGCATTACTAATTTTGCATTTTCCCATTGATTCTTATAATCTGCATTTTTTACGTTTTCTAATTTTCTGGGCGATAGGTCGTGGCTGATGGAGGCCCCGAACTGTCGGGGGCCCTTAGTTTTTTAACTAACCCTACCCAATGTGCTTCACGCCACTGTAGCATATCAGCATGCTGCAAACCTCAACCTGCTTTATTAATACGCAAGAAAATGTTTCCACAGTGGCGGAAATTCACTTTCAAAACTTTCAAATTTCCGACATACCCCCCATTTGCACCCAAAAAGACTGTTTTTATTAGCCCTCTTTTAGGTCAAAATTTCCAAAAATTCGTCAATTTTCCGTGAACGTGGGGCGGCCGCCCCCTCGCACTCCCACGATTTCCACCACTGTGTTTCCAGATTCAAACAAATAGGATACATATGGACGAGGCCACATTATTATTACATTTCACACTTTATTTGTCTAACCTTGTCTCACGAGAAATGATGACCAAGGATTTCACCTCCAGTGGTGAAGTGATATTTGTGGACATTCCTTTAGATCCAGGTCCTTTGCTACTGAACGCCTTTGTTGGCTCATCAGTTCCCATGTCTTTCTCTTCTGGAGTTAACCTCTTCAGAAATTTACGTGCCTTTTGAACAACTTCTTGTTTGGCAGCAACCGAACGTGACCGAATGCTTTCTTTCGATTCTTGTGAATGTGCATGAATGCCATTGTTAGAATTTGGAGCTATTTCAGCATCTTGTTTTATCGTGTCTGATATCTGAAAATTATAACGTATAGCTATTAGTTTTTCAGTCCACACAAACAATCTACACACATACAACAGAATCAACTTTGACATTCAGATTCTAGGGATTCATACGAAATAATGGCAAAGAAAAGCGATGAAAGTGAAAAGCAAAATGCATTGGACGTAGATGACGGTAACAGAGTCGCTAAAAGTTGTTCCAGTAAGACTAATTAGGCTCCCGTGACAAGTTCGATTTGTTATCAGCGACTTGTTTGTTGCAACAACTTGTTGCGAGTCGGTTGGCCTGATCAACGTTGTTACAAGATGATAACATATTGGTATTCCAGACGTACGTCAGCTGGTTGTGTTTTGAACCCAGGTGTAAGACTTGTCACCTGGGAAGAAGCAGTGCGAACACAATTTGCTGACAAGCTGCACGATTTGTGCACGTGTATAGTCGAATCTTCTGCAGTGCTTGCATTTATGTCCATGCAACACGTGCTTAAATTATTCTCGCAAAGTAAAGTTCTGAAATTTATCGCAAAACACTACTTTCAAGATTATAAGCTTTTTTGTTCAAAAGATTATAAAACCATAAATAGTGGTAATGAATCAAAAGATTGCATGGACTTAAAATACTCAGAAAAAATGGTATGGCATCCGTGAGTCGTGCCAGAAAAAATACTATACTCAAGTTACCTGAACATCAACCGTCTTTGAAGATTCAATGTTCTTTTCAGGATCCTCTCTGTACATTGCTTCTACAAGATATATAATTAACAACAAGATAAAATTTTGTGCTGAGTGGTTATAGTACTACCTTAAAAAATAAGCAGAAACTCGACGTTTCGAGCGAAGGCCCTTCGTCAAGAGTTACTAACTCTACTAGCTACTAACTCTTGACGAAGGGCCTTCGCTCGAAACGTCGAGTTTCTGCTTATTTTTTAAGGTAGTAATATAACCACTCAGCACAGCATTTTCACATTGGTACTACCTACACTGGTACAGACCGTTTTAGTAAAGATAAAATTTTGCCGTTGTCTACATAGTTTATATGGAAAATCATCATAACACGGTAGAACAGAGCAGCTTGGTTCCCTTTATGTTGGACAGCGCGACAGGGCCTGGGTCCAAGAAATTCCTAGTTTGGGGCACAAACATTGCATGTGTGACGTCATGACAAGTAGAAAGCTGACAAGTTGACAAGCATGTTGACAAGTAGAAAGCGTAGTACTGCATGTGTATGGCCTTGTGTAGATCACAACTTGCGAGTATATAAATAACATCAACGATACATCTTGCTTCGGAAAATTTGCATAAGACTGCACTTCCTGCGTTTTTAAAAAGTATTTTTGTATAGATAACAGCTA